CTCGGCCTCGCCCTCTGCCCCTCGTGGGATTTGCTTTGGGGGCTTGGGCTACTGGTCAAGGGATGAGGAAGCGCGTGTCCTCGCCATTTGCGAAAGAACAGAGTAGAAATTCAATTAGCATTGAGAAACTAAACCGCACGACAAGAGAGAATAAATGTGAAGTTGTTTCTAACTCTGTAGCCTCTAGGGGATAAATACAAACGTCTCCGTACCGATCCCTCAGACTCTACTAAGCTTGTCTGTGAAGTGTGAGACCCATGTAACCTAGAGCTCTGATACCAACTTGTCACGACCCCGATTTCCCACCCTCGGGAGTCGTGATGGCGCCTACTAATGTGAGCTAGGCAAGCCAATCATTTAACTACTTATTTCATTACACAATTATTTCTTTAAAACAAATAAAAGACGATAACATGAAAACAACGGAACTTTAAATAATTAAGCGAAAGATAACAACTAGATATCTGAAATCTGCATCTATTACAACTCTTAAAACCTAAAGCACCCAAAACCTGGTGTCACAGTGTCACAGACGGTCTAAGATTTACTACATACAAAGTCTGAAGAAAATGACAATACACTGTTTCTGAATAAAAGCAAAATGAAATAGGAAATAGGAATAGAGGAGACGCCAGGGCCTGCGGACGCCTGTAGGTCTACCTTGGATCTCTGCGTGGACTGAAGGTAGCCTCCACACTACGGTCTAAAAGCTTCTCCGGGATCTGCACATAGTGCAGAGTGTAGTATCAGCACAACCGATCCTATGTGCTGGTAAGTGTCTAGCCTAACCTCGGCGAAGTAGTGATGAGGCTAGGACCAGACTACCAAATAACCTGTGCAGTTCAAATACATATACAACGGAAAGATATACAGAAATAACCAGTCAATATGGGAGGGGAAGCATAATATGGGGAGATAACAATTCCGAATAGAAAAACATCAAGTAATGAAAGAAACAATATAACTCGGATATCAACAAAGAATCATAAATCAACAAATGCACGGTATCACCCTTCATGCTTTTACTCTCTTTCCTCACCATATAATCAATATAATCAGCACGGAATGATACATCGTGCGGCACGACATCACCCTTTGTGCTTTACACTCTTTCCTCACAAAACAAACAATGCACGACATCACCCTTTGTGCTTTACACTCTTTCCTCACAAAACAAACAATGCACGACATCACCCTTCGTGCTTAACACTCGTTTCTCACAAAACAAACAATGCACGGCATCACCCTTCGTGCTTTAACTCTCTTCCTCACCTAGACAACAATCACAAACAATAGGGCAAGGGAACAAATGAAATTGCAATAAAAATCCCGGCAAGGGAACAACATCAATATTATCAACATCCCGGCAAGGGAGATAACAAATAAATCAACAATAGCCCGACAAGGGTGACAACATAATGATCTTTTCTCTTTCTCACTTTTGCTTCACTATTCACTTCACAACTCGAGCCAATGCTTTAGAGGTTCAATTATCACTTATACTTTCACAATTCGTTATACAACTTGAGCCAATGCTCCTCAAGGTTCATAGATCACAATTCCTTCCACAACCTTTATACCACAAATAAAAACCACCACTAAGGCATGAAAGATACAACGAGGTCATGATAATCACAAAATAAAGACTCACGGACATGCTAGACACCAACGTATAGATACTCATCACCATGCCTATACGTCGTACTCCACAATTACCACATAGCAAATAGGACTCAAATCCTAATCCCTCAAGATAAGGTTAGATCAAGCACTTATCTCGATGCCACGAACACAATTCACGATTCAATTATAGCTTTACCCTTGATTCCATCACCAATTCGCTCGTATCTAGCCACAAATTACTTAATTACATCAATAAACGCTAAATGAATCAATTTGAATGCATGAAAATGAATTTCCCAAAGTTTTGCCCAAAAAGTCAAAAATCGCCCCGGGCCACATGGTCAAAACCCGAGGTTAATTACCCATTCTCCCACGAACTCAAATGTATAATTTATTTTGAAATCGGACCTCAAATCGAGGTCCAAATCCCCAATTTTTGAAAAACCTAGGTTCTACCCAAAACACCCAATTTTCCCCATGAAAATCATTGATTTTGAATTAAAATCATGTTAAAAGATGTTAAGGAGTGAAGAAATGAGTTAGAAATCACTTACCAACGTTTTGGAGAAGAAATGTTGTTTGAAAAATCGCCTCTTATGTTTTTCGGGTTTTGAAAAATGAAAAATAACTGAAAATCCCGTCTAAATATACTCCTCTCAGATTCCTTGTGCGAACCACACAAAACCAACTGCGGCCGCATAGCCTCTCAGACTCACTGTGCGTACCACACAAAATCAACTCCGGCCGCACAACCTCTTGGACTCACTGTGCGGACCGCACAAAATCAACTACGGTCGCACAGTCACCAGTGAACCTGTGCGGACTGCACAAGATCCACTGAGGCCGCACAACCACCAGTGCGGACCGCACTAGTAGGTTCAGAGAGCTGCAGTTTTCTGAACCTCCAATAGCCATGTTTAAGCCTAAGACACCCCGGAACCTACCCGAAACTCACCCGAGCCCTCGGGGCTCCAAACCAAATATACACACAACCTCAAAAATATCCCATAAACTTATTCGTACGATCACATCATCAAAATAACATATAAAATCATAAATTAAACCTCAAAACTCAACATTTTCATCAAGAACTCTCAAAGTTCATAACTCTCCAACCGGAAGTCCAACTTACGTCAAATAAACTCTGTTTTTTCACCAAACTTTACAACTATCTTTCAAATACTATAACAAATTTGTACTGGGCTCCGGAACCAAAATACGGGCCCGATAACAATGGGTTCAAACATTAATTCTTTTCTTTATTTCTTAAATAATTCAGTAAAACAATTTCTTTAAATTAATTTCTAAGGCTTGGGACCTCGAAATTCATTTTCGGGCATGAACCCAAGTCCCACGTTTTACTGCGGATCTCCCGAGATCGTCGGAACACAGATCCGGGTCCGTTTGCTCAAAATGTTGCCCAAAGTCAACCATAATCAAGTTTTTAACTTTAAAATTTCTATTTCTCATATTTTCACATAGAAGGCTTTCCGGATATAGGTACGAAGCACGCACGTAAAACAAGGTGGGGTAAAAAGGAGGTTTTTAGGCCTCGTAACACTGAATTCACTTGCAACACAAGTGATGACCTTTTGGGTCATCACAATCTGTAAACTTAAAGTTATTTCCATAGTAAATGTGTTTGTTTCAATATCCTAATAGTATATTTATACACTTATATGTTATTGTTTGTACATAATGTACATCAAATATAAATTTAAAATATATCACATATATATATACGTAGTATATATTTCAAATGTCAAATACACTTAAACTATATATTGATCACATCAAGTATTTATAATTATACATTAAATATACATAATACATATATTGAATATGAATATTTGTTTACGTTATGTATACAAAATTATACTCTGCATAGACATAAAACGGTTCGGTATAGGCAAATATACATAATATATTCATTATACATATGTATATATTTATAATTACATTGCAAAAAATATATCACATATGTATATATACACCTTCAAACATGGAATAAAAATGTGAATTTTCTTAGACTTTATTTGATATAATAATGAAAAAGGGGATTGTAAGAGGGGGAACTTTCATAAAAATGGCAAGCACATATTAATGATGGGAGAGAAATAGGGATAAATTAGTATGGTTCAAAACTAAACATACATGATTTTGAAAAAATGTTGTAACTGTAAATGAATTTGCTCTTTTTGGAGTAAAACAAAAATAATGATCTTTATTTAATAAATAATTGACAATGTAAAAAACCCACTTATTATCTGTCTATGATACGGAGAAAGAAAGAATCATCACAGGTTAATAATGCGATGAATTTAGAATTCCTATGCTCTTATTTAGTTTTGAGTACGGGAATGAAAAATTTTGTTACAGAAAATGCGATTAGAAACCAAACATGGAACTTTAATTTAGCCAAAAAAGTAGGACACGCATTTAGAAAGATATTTGTTGAATGGGGATGGGGGTAAAGTCTCTTCTTTTATGGAGATGTCCTTAGTATTGGAGTTGCGACTGAAGATTCCCTCTATCTTCTCAGATGGCATACCGCATAAACAAGCAAAAGCATATGGTAAAACCTTAATTTCTCAATTTACCCCACACATTTTACCACGGTAAGAGTAAATCTTTTGCTCCTATTTACTTGTCATTTTGATCTTCTGCACCCACTTTAATAAAATATTAATTAATAAAAAGATTAATTATTTGACTAAATTATCTTTATCTGTATTCTTTGATCTCTTAATCTTCTTACTTCTTTAATTTGTAGGATATTCATTAGAGTAGTAAGTATAAATTGGAGAAAAAATAATAAACCATTTAGTCTAACAGGATAGAGCTTACATATTTGGACAAATTTAATGATTTTTGCTTAGACTTTATATTTGTATTAGGTATTTATTATATATATTTAGTTGCGAATCAAATAACTAAAAAGAAGAATGAATTTGATGTCAAATATAAAACTTATAAATTTCAAATCATGACAATAGACGTCTCTAGTTTGAGGGGTTGTATAATGGTCGGTGGGATGCAAGATCTTGATATGTTTTGAGTAGAATCTGTAGAAATAGATGTGCCACCCACCTTTGAACACAATTAATCACATGCCAACTGAGAATTAAGTGAAGGCCAAATCATGCAACTGATAACTTGCAGAAGCTACTCTAATTTATTGCTGAATACTACTACTAGTACGATTCAATTTTATAGCGTGAAATAACAATGTGACAGTTTTGAGTAATGCCATTGGAATTAGGGGTATATATGAACCGGGTTGATTCGCTTTTTATCAAAATCAAACTAAATTAATTACTATATCATTTTAAATTGGTTCGATTTTATCGGATTACTACAAGAAGTTTGACTTTTAACGACCAAAGTCTAACGAAGGGATTTGAAACCGGTCATTATAAGTGTATTTTTTTTCCCTGTCATCAAAACCAATTTTAATAGTAATATTTCGGTCCTTAAAAATCATAAAATCCAGGCGTTAAATAGAAAAAAGTGCGCGCTATTTTTTGCCCACGCACCCCTCAACTCCCCCCCAAAAAGGAAAGAGTACGTATCTTATGTTTTAGAACTATACAATAACTTACAGTTACAGAGCAGATAGCTAACATCTCACAAATTGGAAGAATCAGAATTTGGGTTCCTCTATGAAAACCTAGGGTTTTTTCTCCTTTTCATCAAGGTAAGCTCTAAACTTATAGTAAACTCTTGTGAAATTGGGCACTTTTTTATGTTATCAGTTCTCTTTCTATTTTTCAAATATTGCGTTTCTTCTTATGATTACATATGCTTCAAATTTATAGTTACATGTATGTTCTAGGAATATTGCTGTTGAATATGCGGAAGTTGTTTCTTTATTTTCTAGAATTTTGCTCGTTATATAATAGCTATGTGTATTCATTTTGAGAGCAGATTGTTTTTTGGAATTGGGTTTGATTTCATATTGTTGTTGGGGAAAAAGGCTTCTCAATATATATCTGGTCATGATTATATTATAAACTTTGTCTAGTGAGGTAAGAATTCGCTAACTTTCTCCCTAATTATATAAACCGGAGACAAAAGAAACAATTTTTTGGATATGGTCGTGATTGTATTTTAAAACAGGTCTCAGGTTTGTTCTCCTCTATCATCAAAGCTAAGTTTGTACATTGATTTTGGATCCTCCTGTTGTGTTATTTTCCTTTTCCTTGTTCTCTTTTTGTGGATAAACATGGTGTTATCAATCTGACTTTTATATAAGATATGGACAGAACAACAATCCTAGAAATATTTTGCTCGCAAATTTGGTGGGTCTCAATGCTGAAGAGTGACTTGGTCTGCTATGAGGGAAAGAAGTGAAAATCTATGTGAAGTAAAAGAGGAAAGCTTGACAACTGCTACTAAGAACCTAACAGAATGTTTATACATTTGGTTACAATAACAGTAGGCTACTGACCATGGCTAAATGAAATATCAAGGAGCTGATTGTGGAAACAACGATCTTGTCCCGAGTTAATGGAAATTGGTTTTAATTGCAACAAAAATTGTAAGAACTAAAAATGAAATAAAAGGTGAGCATTACTGTTGACTAATTCTATATTGTTGATTCAGGATAGATTCTTTGAGAATTAGAAATGAATATTTCAGGGTGCAAAAGTTCTCTACCTGGCAAAGATAAAAATTAGGAATAACACACAGTATATGAATAGCAGTGCAAGTTGTGTTAGATTATATTGACATAAGTTATTTGACAATCCGATGTATTCATAAATTCTTAATTGATCTATTAAATTAATTAATTCAACTATATGAATATTCATAGATTCTTAATTGTCAAGATTCACCGTTATTTTCTGTGCACAATGATCCACCTTCCTGCTTGTGTTGCTACTATTCGCCCTTTGTACCAAAGGGATGTTCGCGAATGGATAATTGTTTCACTTTCACAGGCTCCTTGTACTAGTCAGGGGCTTCTTCAGGTTTGTTATTCCATCACTTTTGAGTTTCATGACAATGCTGTATTTTTTTTTTCCTTCGTCTAACATTTTTCAAGTATGTTTGTTTGTCTATGTTCATTTGCTTGTGCATATGCTCTTGCTAAGGGATTGATGCTCTTTGCTTAGAGTGCAAAATGAATATTTGGGTCTCTCTCTCCGCTACATTACAGGCGGACAAAAATTATTTTTTTGGAAAAACATCACTAGTCTTTTAACATTGGTAAACACATTATCTTTTTTATGTAGGAGTAAATATTTTGTGTGCTGATGGTATTTTAACTTTATTTAGTAACGAACATACTTTAAATATTTTGTGTGCTGATAGTATTTTTTCTTTATTTAGTGTTGATGGTATTTTATGTAGGAGTAAATATTGCTATTACTTGCTATCAGTGCTTCTTTCATCTTCTTTAGCTGAGGGTCTATCGGAAAAAGTATCTTTACATCTTCCAAATATTATTTCTTGTTAATACATTTAGGTCGTAATGCTCTGGGTGTGTTGTTGTTATTTCAATCCTGATTTGTCCATATCTCTGCAGCTGAGAAAGCCTTCTCATCCTAGTTGCAGCATTCCCGCTGCAATAAATTGCCTTGCAACTCTGTTGAAGGAACCTATTGTTCGATCTTCATTTGTTCAACCTGACGGAGTGAAGCTGCTTGTTGCTTTAATAGCACCAGCATCTACTCAGCAGTCCATTCAGGTGCATCTTTACACAAAATCTGCCACATGTTAAACCTACTTCCAAATTCTGTAATTTGTTCTCGAAGCATTGGGAAGTGACTGTTGAGTTGGTTATCATTTCTTTCCATGTATCATGCGACTCCCGTAATTGTTGACAAAAAGTTTAATGCTTCCATCTTTGACCTGCTTACCATACCTAGGCCAAATTATAAGAAGTTCCTCTACAACTTTTAACTATGATGTATTTGACTCACTTTTCTTCTTTGAAACAGCTTCTCTATGAGACGTGTCTCTGTGTCTGGCTTTTGTCTTACTATGAACCTGCAATTGAGTACTTGGCTACTTCTAGGGCCCTACCTTGATTGACAGAAGTTGTTAAAGGTTTGACAAAGGAGAAAGTGAGCTATTCTGCTGCTATTTGTTCTTATATCTTTTCCACTTGCTATCCTATGTCTTAAACTGAATGTAGCGGCTCTACTTTGGGCATGCCTAGAAAGAACTTCAGTAAGATAGAATATTTGGCTATACATTCAAAAGTTTGAACAATCCTATACTTTCTAACTTGAAGTTATGTATACCTATCGAGTGGTTTTGAGGGGTGGAAGCAGCATCAAAGGAGATGCTTGCCCATGTCTCAAAAATAGTTAAAGTGCTAGTTGGCAGCACTTTTCATATTGACAAATTGCTGAACTATTTTTTCTTGTTGAGGTAGCTTAACAATACTCTGTTTTCTTTTGTTGTATTAGGTTTAGATGAATCCATCAAAATCTCAGAAGTTTGAAATGGAATCAACTTCGAAGACTGTTAAGCATTCATACGTTGCACCTGGCGCCTTAGCAAGGGGACGCGGGCAAAGCTTCAAAACTTTGGGCTCGGTAAGAGTAAATGCTGAACAGAGACTCCCGATTGGCAAAAGTAAAAATCGTAATGCAGCAGCTTCTTATCTGAACGAGCTAGCTCAGAATAAGAGTCTTGCACCTCCTGGTTTTGATCCAGTAGAAGATGATGTTTCCCTCCCGCAAGAAGTTGAAGTGATGCAAGACACTCAGAGAAACGAAATAAGTATTTCACTGTTTCAAATTGTAATATATTTTTTTGTTGTTATTGCAGTGGCACTTTTTTATTGTTTGACTTAAATTTGAAATTAGCAGGTCCATGTGAATCTGAAAAGGCAAAAAAAGCGAGAGGAAAGAACAGGTGTAAAAATATTCTCAAAGTTGGAGAAAAGTTGAGCGTCACTTTCTACCACAATCGAGTTGTTGGGAAGAATTCAACCTCATTTGTGAGACACTTAGGTATATTAGTTCGTGACCGTAATATTTGCCCATTGCGCGAAGAATATAAGCTGGACCATATGTGGGAAGCTGTTACTGGAAGAATTTAAAGTATTACCTTGTTGTTTTGCCTCTCCTTTTCTTCTTTCACAAATGAAAAGAAAATACTAGTGACTTTACATCATTGCATCTATCAAGTTCTTTTTTCTGGTTTGTAAGAATTCAAAAAGAAAATTAAATGAGTAGAAACATATAGTTTATTGTGCTTTTTAGAAAAACCCCAATATCCTACTTCTTCTGCATCATAAGTTGAGAAAAATATCCATTTATCTTTAGCATCCAAAGATAAATAAATAAAAACATGAAATTCTTCCTCACTGGGCAGGAAGTGAGACTTAGGGAGATGAACAAGCAATTGTGTAAGATAAGTTTGATGTGCTTGTAATGACACATCAAACTTTCTTGGGAAAACTGTATGAGATAAATTTGACTTCACTCTCTGCAGTCATATCCAATTTTTCTTGGATAAGTTATAGATGGTGTACTCTCATTGAGAGTAATTCAACTATGGCCTTGCAAGACATACCGAATACCACTAGGAATAGTAAGCTGAAAGTAGAAATTCATCAGCATATTGTCTTCTATTTCACTTATAGTAAGCTGTCAGTTGGTACAATGTTAGAGTATATTTCAGGTAACATGATTCTTTATAGTTATTTTAGGAGACTTGATTGACATTCGACATTACTTAATACTGAATGCCACTAGGAATTCTATATGCAGAAGTGGAAACTCCTCAGCATATATAGGTGCAGTCTTTTAGTTTCATTTACAGTACGCATGTAGGGACCAAGCTGGAAACTTGTCACTGATACTTTGCCTACCAAATTTGTCAATTAGTAAAAGAAGGCTTTGCTGCTAACTCTTATAGCAGCCTGCTTTCCTACAACAGATAGAGTGGAAATGTATATAGAGAATGTTGTGCTTGTTGTACAACCACTAATGAATATGTGCCTTCTCCTTTCCATAGAGTTTTTCTCATTTATTAACATTTGTTCCTTAAGATTCATATTGTTTCGAGTAAACTATTTTTTTGTATTATTTGGTGCATAAACTGATCGACCAATGATAATCTTTGATGCTTTCATTCATTTAGTCTTTAAGTTAGAGTACATAGAGAAATGATTAAGGATAGCATCCAAAGATCAGTTCCGTTATTGAGTAATAATTAAGATCCAGAATGAGATTTTTCCTCCTAATGAAAGTATTTGCTAGAGATGGAAACCGACAAATATAAATAACACATCTATAAATCATATCGATGAATCTGCTCTTTTCTCTTGTTGTATTGGAAATGTTCATATAAGATCAAATTATGATGTCGAGCATGTTTTCACATTTAATAATCACGTCATCTTAAGAGATAAATTAATTTGTCACTAGTAACTCTTAAATATTTTATTTTATATTGTTGGTTCAGTTTTTCATTTTTGTTTATTTAAAACTTTTGAATTACATGTTTGATGATATCATAGAACAAATTTGATAGTGCTGACATAAATGGTCAAAGAGATAATGTCTTGAAACATATGAGAAGGTTATGGAACAATTGGAGAGGATCGCTGCACATGATTTTGAAATCTAAGCCATTGCGCGATGTTCTAATGGATGTGCCAGAGGGGGTCGACAAGAGTGATTGAGAATGGTTGGTCAAGGAGCACTTCTTATCTGAAAAGTTTAAGGTATGGCTTCATAAATATTTATATCATCTTAATTTTTTAAGCGGTAGACTACACCTTCTATTTTTTGTTGTTGTTATAGGAAAGAAGTACGAGAAACTCAGTGAATAGGTCTAACTTGATTATGCCTCATCGTACGGGTAGCAAGCCTATCAGAGAGATTATTTATGAGCTGGTAAGTAAATCATGCTATTGTATTAAAAAAACCCCTCTTTGTTTAAAAGAAATTGTTTGACTTGTTTATTTAAATGCAAAGGGAGGCAAAGATGGTAATCCACCAGATATGGCGACTATTTTCTTTGAGACTCATAAGAAGGACGATAAGCTTGTCGAACCTAAAACCAATGAAAAATATGTATGTTGATTGATAAATTTCATTTTACACCTTTTCTTTTATCAAAGTATTGCATTATTTGAAAGATTATAATCTTTTAGGCTGAAATTCAAGAACTGGTACAATCCGAGCCGTCTCTTACAAATATTGAGGTTGTAGAAAGGTGCTTTGGACCTCAATGCAAGAGCAATGTGGTTGGATTTGGGGGGTGGGATAACCGCTAAGGAGTTAAAAGGCGGTAATTCCTCTAAGGCTGCACTGTTGGATGAGCTGAATGCAACTCGAAAGGAAAATCTATTCCTAAAGAGACGCCTTGATAACTTGGAGAATACAGTTGCACAACTTGCAAGCACGTACTCTGGTCAGCCTTTATCAACACCATCTTAAACTGAACCAGATACAGGCATTTGAAAGGTTAGTAAGCTTTTATCAACTTTTTACAATTATCACATGTCATATTCATTTATTTAGCCACCTTATCACTTTCTATTGCCATGTCTTTCTTTTATTGTATAACTTGTCACCTAACAGTAGAAGATGTTCTGCCTTTTACGGGAAATTAAGTATATGTATGAAGATTAAGTTTGTGTTAAGAGAAAAAGAGGTTAGTGGCACTGCCGCTTCAATTAGATTAAATTAGAATTACGACATCACTCAATTTTCATGCAATGTAACTGCAGAAAACTAAAGTGTCATGGCATCATTTGATTCTGAATAAAAGATTAAATAATCCCTGTTATCTGTATTTTGTCTAAGATTAGAAAGCTTCTTGGAACTTCAGGATTAGAAAGGAGCTAAATCAGGCTGAGAACCTTAAATTCACCTAGCACACCCTGGGTTCCAGGATGACCTGATATGCTACGGTTGAGATCAGCTTCTGAGATACACACATAGGTGCCTTCTCTAGCCTTTTCAGGTATGATCAATAATTGCCATAAATATATCAGCTATACCCCAGAAGGTTAAAATGGAGAGAACACAAAAGGATAACTTAACCTTGTGCTAATCCTAAATGTCTAGAACAAGTATGCAAAACAAGACAAGTCCACTACAAACTTTTTAAATCCCAAAGAAAAAGCTAATTAATCATCAGACTTGTAAATCAATACATACTGGAAACTCCATTTAGTTGTTATCAATAGCCTTGCACCAACTCTCGGTATCCCTGTATCCATATTAAGGGACCTAGGCAAATCAACTGCCTCAACATGCATTCTTGATTTATTTACCCGAGTTCATATAGCATAGGCAAAGCAACATATCTTTTCGATCTACTATAACTCATCATGAAGAAAGCAATGCTTAGTAAAAAAGTGTCCTATTTACTTTAGATAATTGGCCTCCTCCACTACTAAATTAGGTTTCTACTTCATCAGGTACACAATATATAACCCGAGCTCAAAAATGGGTACCACAACATTTGAGACCCTAAAGACATTGTTAGCATAACCTTTCCACCACAGAGCTACCGGTTACTTGCACAATATTTTCTCTACTCAGAAACAGCAAATTATTGCACTATTGTTTCCTCTTTCTCAAGTATAACTGCAGCATAACAATAGAACCCAAAGATAACCCACAGTTTAAGAAATACTATCACGTCTTTCAAGACCAAAATGATTTCATGTCATGTCTTTTTAGCAGCTTAAGTGGCTAAAAGGAATTGTTTCTTGTTTGATATTTTTTTCTCAATGTAATTATGTGTACTGATATGTTTTGTTTGCTTTTAATAATTTCTGGTTTAGGAACTTATCTCTTTATTATTGTTGTTGTCTCCTCTCCACCCCCACCCCTACCCCCACCCCCTATACTATTAGGGGAAAAAGGAAAAAGGTGTCAACAAAAACATATCATCACCGGAGATGGTGCTTACATTTGATTGTGGTTTAGCTATTTTTGGAACTTTTTAATCAAAATTATTTGAACTGCAGAAACTTTTGTGTCTTATGCTTTTGATTTATAATCGCCAAGTTTGATTTATTTACTCCAGTTGTTCAATTAACCTGGTGTTTAAATTTATTCATTTATTTTTTTAAATAAAATAGTTAGAGAAGTTTTTACTATACTGACATGAGCTTGTTCTTTTAACAGATTAAAAAGTTGAAGAATGAAGATCTCATTGAAGAAAGTACAAAGCAAATTGATGCATATTAGATTTTATAGGTTTCTTAGTGGTTGTGTAGGGATGTTGTCATTTGTACATATGTTGAAATTTCATTCTGTCTTTCAGGAATTGATAGTGAGAAAGTCATACAGTTTAGATGGGTATATATTCTGGTAATGTGTTATTTTACTAGTTCTTTCTAATTGACAGATTAATTTTATGTGAATACATGTTTTATTTATTATTTTTTCTGATGTGTGTGTAAAATTCTATGGAATAACAAATATTATTGCGCAAACACAGGGAAATTTTTATGAATTATCTAATTGTATTTATTAAAATTTCATATTAGCGAAGAAAAATATGGCCTTTACAATTATTTAATGATTGGATTGTCAGATTGTGAACATGTATTAGCAAAAAAATTGGTTGTTAAAAATATTATCGTTAAAAGTAACATACAATTAACGAAAGGGAACTCCGGTCGCTAAAAGTAATTATAGTAATCGAACTTGTGGTTGGTTTTAAAGAGCTTTAATGGCCGGATGACAAATCAACGAAGGGAAAATTCAGTCGCAAAAGAGTAAGAATAACGACTATAAATTACGTTGTCGCTAAAGAATCTTTAATCACCGAACTCCAATCCGGTCGTTAACTTTAACGACGGCGCATTTAGTGACCGGCGGCGACCAGTTTTTGCCCGGTCATTAATGACCTGTAGCGACCATATTTGGGCTTTTAATGACTGGATTTTCAGTCGCTAAAAATCGCTTCTCTTGTATCGCGTTTTTTGTTACTTAAATATTCTTTTAATCTTACTTTGTTAAATTTTTGATAAGTAAATATATGTTTAGTAAAAATATAAAAAATTAACAAATATATTATCTATTAAAATATTCTTATGAGAGAATTTTCTTAGTAACACATAATAGTTATTTTTTTAGTTGTTTGACAATAATGTTACGTTGATGTACACTTTCAAGGTTAACCGAATTTAGTAATTAAACATAAAAATAGATATGATACCTAAATAATAATAATAATCACTTCACATTCGAAAAGATATTTCAATTTAGTAGATCTTAACATATGATATGAATATGAAAGAACAAAGAGATTGACGCATTTCAGTAACACTTGATGAGAAAGTGATCATACATCCCATTATTTAAGGTTAATAAATATGGAGCACTTTATATACTATTAAATATTATATCCCACAAGATAATCCCAAATATTTCTAGACATTTTTTAAAAGAAAATTTTATATAAAATCTTAAAAATTTATATAAAAATTATATATTTATATGTCGGTTTGGTTCGAGTTTTTTTATTCAATACCAAACCAAATCTAGTCGGGGTTTTTAATCGGTTTGATTTGACTTTTCGGTTTTATTCGATTTTCCGGTTCGGTTTGTACACCCCTAATTGGAATTTAAACCAAATTGACAAATTCCAAACCATGATTACATATGACCCAAATGTCTCATGAGTCATGAGCTCAACAGTTGCAACATTTTTTTTCTTTCCCTCTTTCTTCCAACGATAGGTACATGTCCCTTTTTTTGGTTTTTCATCCGAAATTCAGTATTGTATTGAGGCTTGATTACATCGAGATTTGCATGGACAAAGTTCACATTGAAGACTAAAGCACTCTTCAATAAATGTGAGTTTATACTCAGAATTCGAACCCGATATCTCTTATAAAGGGATGAAAGAATTCTTACCATTTTCGCAATCTTTATTGGTGACAAGTACATATCAATTTAATCATATTGGGTCTGGAATATAGGGAGATAATTGGTACTACTTCCTATGGGCTAGATTATCTGTCTTCTAATGTTTTTGTACTCTGCTTAAAAAGACACTTAACAACATTAATCATAATAGTATTTGTGTAAATTGTCCTTTATGATCTCTCCTAAAGCGTCTTAATTAATATTTTATAATTGGAAAAACAAAGGAAAATCTGGAGAAAAAAATTTATAAATGGCTTCTTGTTTTTTGTTTTCTTCTAACAACCAGTATCTTGAAGCAATTTTATTTGCCAAAAATGATTAGTAGTAATACTCTGCTCATATTCACAAAGAAGAGAATAAAGTAGAAGAGCATTAAATTTATCCAATATCCATAGGTTAAAATACGGATTTGATAGAACTCAATAACTTTAATTTAAATTATGTATGTGTTGAGAAATCTACTTACGTATAATGAACTATGAATCCAAAAACATAAATGAATTATGAGTTTGGAGCCAAATACGGAATCGCTTGAACTCAAACTTAAAATTCTGAATTCGCTTCCCTAATAAAAAAATTACCTAATTGATCAGAACTAAGCACATGACTTTACATGTTCTTCCTAATTAAATTTAAGTAAATGTTGGTTCCCAAGAGAGTGGATCCTGCCATTAATCCTTCATGTTGCAATAACTAATTAATGGGATAGTTATGTGATAATCTGGTAAGAATGCACTGATGCAACCTAATTAACAACACCAAAACTAGATATTTGTCATCTCAAGGTGGAACTCCCACCACTTTAATTGGTTGCTTACATGTGGGAAGCAAATGCATCTCTAGTTTTTAGAAGGCTTCCATTTCTAATCTTTTCATAGGCTAAAAAGACATCAAAAGTTCGAAATTTTTTATTTTGTGCCTCACACACCTAATGCTAGTTATCTGAGACCTCTTTTTTATCTTACAATTTTATGGTTCCAGAATTTTGTGGGCCTAAATATGTAAGATATGAGTTCATAAATGTGTGACATAAAAAAAAGATCTCGTACAACTAATGCACACCATAAAATCATTTGTGTTGTGATGGGAAACAGTTGTCTGCATGTTCAAAAGGTTGACTTAGCTTCTTGATCTTGTCAGCCACTATTATACATTGATTTTTGGAGTCTTTAAACTTTACTTGGACCACTACTCCTTGACAAGGACTAAAGCAAAGGAAAGAACACACTACCTCTTTCCTTTTTAACCCAATATAAATTCGACATACTTCGTGCATCAACCTGTCTTCTTCTTCCTCAATTAGAAGATTTGAGTTTGAGCGGCGAGAATTGAAAACCTCTTAATAGAAAAAGTTTTCTCCTCTAATAGATCAAACGCAACACAAATATAAATTATTCAAACCAATAAATTTCAAATACCAGAAAAAACATGCACTCAATGGTGTTGTAACATGAGCGTGGACAATATAAAAAGGGACGACTGTATATGGGGCCAGTAAATAAGGTATTCTGTGACTTCAATATTAGGAGTGTACAAAGGAAACCGACAAACCACACCAACCCGATAATTCGAGTCAAACCGAGAAAAAAAATTCGACTATGGTTTGGTGTTGAAAAAAAATCCGACCATAATTGGTTTGGTTTGGTTTTAACTAAAGAAAGTCAAACCGAAACTAAACCAACCCGACATTACATATATAGAAATTTTAGATATATTTAATATATAAATATACTTATTGTGATGTAATTTATAAATATTTCTTAAAAAATTTCATAATTTTAACTTTTAATGTATTATTTCAAGGTTGGACTTAGAACTTTTGAATGCTCCAATAAATTTTATAGCCATCAATATTAGTAAATTAAATAATGCTAACAAAAGCCCAAACCAAAATCAAATCAATACTAATGCTAACAAAAGACATTCAATTCTATATTACGAACGTGAATGTATTGAATATCTATTTTTTGTTTTGCAATAGTTTAGATAAAAATACATAACCTATTTTTATTTTTCTTTAGCGTTTAGTCATGTAATTAATACTCCCTTATTAGTCTATTTATTTTAGTATGACTTAGTACTGTTAGATTATATTTATTTTTATTATGGCTTTTAATTAGCAATATTTATATTACATAATTTTATTATCTTTATTGTTGAATATTTTAAGATAATGTCATGACACAACTCATATTTTGTATTATTTTCTTGGAAAATATTTTATATAGTTGTATCTTACTAGGATTAAAGAAATATTTTGAGCATACGTTATATATTTTGTTATACGGGGATTTTACCGGGAAAAAATCCGAAAATCCGAAAACCCCCGAAAAAAAAACCGAGATTGAAAAACCTGAGTTTTATTGGTTTGGTTTGGTCTTTAGATTTAATAACCCGGCACAATTGATTTGGTTTGATAATTATAAAATCCGAACCAACCCGACCTAATAAAATCCGAACCAACCCGACCTATGTATACCCTTACTGGGCACAAAGATTAATAGTGCACCTTTTTGCATGTATATATATTTCCCTTCCAAAACCAGCAAACCCAAGACAAACACCTTTTTTTTTTCTACTCTCGTGTCCTTACACACACATTGTAACCAGAGCTCAAAAATCTGATGAAGCAAAATTTATACTTTTTACTACTTCTTCTTCTTCTTCTTCTTGTTTTCATGCTCATGTATTCACAAGCATCTGCTCGTTTCTTAGCAAACAACCAAGGTACTAATTAATTAGTGAATGCTTATCTCCTTACTTTTTTTGCTTAGAAAAAATACTCGTTGATTTCTTTTCATTTGTTATTGGTGGGTACAATTTGATACTTGTATTAGTAGGAGGTAACAAATACCTAATAATTACTTAGCTAAGATGAACGCAAACTGGTCTAAACATCGAAAAGAATTACTATTGTATTTAAGCTTAATTTATTAATTGACTGAGTAAATTAACAAAAGCTTTTGAATGACTGCAGTGAAAGGGGAGGTAAAACTCCACAAAACCATTGGTGGAGATTCTATTGACAGGATAGAAACAGCTGATGGTTCAAATGTAATCTTCTTGCCTTATCTCCTTTCTTTTTTTTTTTGGGGGTAGGGGGGGGGGGAATTATGTAGTATAGTCGCTATCATAAATAACAGCCGGCAAAAATATATATTGTTGTATACTCCCTCCATTTTCAATTTACATAATATCTATTTTGTATTTTTGGCCAATGGATATAATTATTTTGGTCGACCGGCCAAATGTGTAACTTGCCCTTTTTTTGCCTGTGTTAGAGAGCTCCAAAATTTTGTTATCAAGATTAATTGTTTTTTTTTTTGTTTACACTTTGTAGAAGTTGATGGGAGTAGAGGAATGTGATGATGGAGATGAAGAATGCTTTAAGAGAAGGATTATTGCAGAGGCTCACCTAGATTACATCTACACTCAACACCATAATCACCCTTAGAGAGAAACTGACTACTTAATAAGCACTACTTTTCTATAACCCCACAACTATTTCCCAGATCTTTTACAACTCTTAAACATAAGCGATTCAGAATTTTAACTTTGTGAATTCTGGATGCTAAAAATAATAATTTACTGGGTTGTAAATAAATAATTTTAGGATTATGTTTATGGATTTTAGTACTACTTTTTCGTCCAAGAAAATCTAGTAAATATACATATGCCATGGTTGTTGGTATTATGTTTAACTTTACTTGTTTCATCCAGGAAATCTAGTGAAGTATATACCATGGTAGCATAAATCCCTCCTTGTGCTTCTGTATTTGGTCTTATTTTTATTGTTATCTTTAATTTGATCCGTATTATTTGTCTTTTAAGATTCTTCCACACCCTTTAAAAAATACTGTATAACCTTAATCATACGAGTACATCTCACCAGAGGCGGATCTATTTGTAAAAGAGGGGTCGGACCCCGTTAACTTCAATAATTTTTTTTGAATATATATATGTACTATATCTGAAGGAAAAGAAAACAATAAATGACTTGTTATATTTTAAAGTATCAAATATTTGAAACAAATTTAATTTGCTAAAAAGACTGAATTGAAACGGAGTTAGTAGAGAACAAATGAAGAAGAAGATTAAAAGGAATGGGAAATATATTACTAGTATTTAAAACATTTATGGCGTGTGGTTATTCGTTGTTAGAAACTGTGGGCGGAAGAGAAGAGTGGGATTAATTGGGGATGGCAATATCATATATTAACTGGAAAGTAGAAACTCATAATGCACGACAAGTTCCACTACCAAAAATAGCTCTACTGAGGCATTGCCATGCAGCAGCTAACATAGACCATCTCTTTATAGTTATTTAGAGTTTACTCAGAGTTGCATACAATTTGATTTGATCACAAATATATCTGAGAAGATCTAGTACTTAAGGTAGCAGCCGCTTTTATATATGAAAAGGAGTCAGAATTTAACTGAATTTGCCTTCTTCATCATACCTCATCTTAGTTATTGGATTCTCGATCTATACAATTTTTTGAATTTTTTAATACGATCGAATACATGCTCTAAGCAAAATCTATTGGCTATTTAGGTTCATCTAGACCAATACTGCCTGCTATATGCATAGCAAATGTCAACTGGGCAGCTTGATCACAAAACATCTCGTATTCACATAGGGTTCGGGAAAGGATCGTATGATATAGACAAAGAAACTTTGACATTCTACTTTTAATAGTTTATGTTAAAGGGTTGCATCTAATATAGTCAAAAGAAATTCAAGATCTTTTTATTTGCCTAAATTTTGGTTTGTCAAAGTTATCTAATACTACATTGTATATATATATGTTGATAGTAGATACTAAGTGCCAAGAAAATAAAATGAAGTACGCGCAAGATGAATTTGCCACCACCTTAACAATATAATGGAAGGACTTTAACTATTTTCGTGATACTTATCAAAAAGTAGTAGAGCACTTTCTTCATATTTAATTAAAGGATACTCTACTTATAGATATGGCAGCTAGAAACAAGAATAAAAATCATAGTGAAGATCATGCTAACAAGATTTGCAATCCAAAATCATTAAAATACTTTAAAAATTTAGCTACAAGTGTCAGCTTGTGAATTATTCTGAAGATAAATATTGAAAGTATGCTTGCTTATTGTCCAGCAGCAAAAAGTATCAACAAATTATTGTATTTGTTATATTCTCGTTTATCTGTGGCGGGAAAGACATCTGTCTTGTTTGTGCATGTACAGAAACAATTAGAAATTTCTCCATCGTTGTTATGTTGATAAGATATCTAGGCATATAACTTTTTGATAAGACAACAAATGGTTTAAAATAAGCAATCAGAGATACCATTACAAGAAACTTGTATGTGTGGTGACTCGGATTCCACCTGTCAATATTCAATTTGGAATTAAATGACACCACCACCTCACATGACATACAACTCAAATAAGAAGAAAAAACAGCAGATAGGCTGAATATATGTCTGTGCTCTTTAAATTTGCCCGTATTTTTCATTTAAACACTTAACTAATAATTTTAACTATTCAACATTTGAACTTGAGTCAAACTGTACCTATGCGACACAAAGTGTCTAGTATACACAGTTTGGCTTGAGTTTAACTGTTCAATATATAAGTACAATAATTAATTAATTTAAGTGTCTAAGTAAAAATCCGAACAGATTTAAAGGACAGCATATGTATTCAACCTAAAGGTGTTAAACGGGTGGGCCGGGCCGGGTTGGGTAGGGAAAAGTTGAAACCGTACGGGTTTCAAATCGGGCCGGTTACGGATTAGGGATTACCGGGCTTAACGGGTTCGGATCCATCCGGGTAAAAAATGAACCGTAAGGGTTACGGGTACAAGGGGCCAGACCGGGCCGGGTTAGTGTAATTTTTAATTTTTTTTTTTGTATTTTGTATAACTATTGTAAGTTATATTAATATAAAGTAAAAATATAAAGAATACAATAAAAATGTGAAAAAATTGCACTTATCAATTGTAAGTGCTACATTTATTTCAAAATTTAAACTTACAAATTAAAAGGTTTACATTTAATAACAAGTAAATTAACGAAAAAAGAATAAATTCAAAGGTTTTGCATTGCATTAGTAAGTTCTTCATAATCAATATGAACTGATTGACCTTCTTCTGGAGTGTTAAATTTAGATGGATTACCATGTGTTAATATATCTCCAAGTTCCTCGTCTTCTGGGCTATCAACATCTTCACGTCCTTGATTTCTTTGTTCCGATCTAATTCAATATCTGAAACATATTAAAACTTCCAAAGCATTGCTTCCCAATGAGTGACGGGTATCTCCAAGTTGTTGTCTTGCTTGGCTAAATGCACTCTCTGATGCAACAGTTGAAATTGGCACATTCAGCACGCCCCAAGCCGTAGCGGAAAGAACAGGAAATTGCTTTCCATTTTCATGCCACCATCCCAACAGTGAAAATTCCTTTGTGCGAGGCTCGTTTTGCTTTTGCAAGTAGAATTGAAGTTCATCAATGTTCCTGCTACTGGTTTGAGTATTAGAAAATATAGAAAAAATATTAAAACTATCAAGGCCTTCATCATCATCCACAGTAGTAGAAGTGGTACAATGCACAGTGGGATTAACATTGGCTACATTAAGAGCAGCATCATCAAATATATTTGCATATTAATTATATAATTATTGTAAAGAATCATTTAGCTTGTTCATACAAACATATATATCTAGGCTTTCATTTGGTCCAATCTCCATATAAGTATATAAAACATTGATTAATTGGTGACCAATCAGACATCTTAATAGAAGAATTTAAAACAACACCAATTAAGTAAATCAGAGGAATTGGAAAAAAATATTTTTTGAATTTTGCTTGCATTTTTTCAACAATATCCTTATATTTTTCTTTCTTCTTAAATTCAAAGAGTAGAAAAAAAATTTCAGCAATATGTACTAAAGCCATAGTAACAGTAGGGTAATATGCTCCGGAAAACTCAACATTAGCTGTATAAAATTTATGTAAAAATTTAACAACATCATTAATGGTCTCCCAAGTAGTAGTTGTCAACATACGGTTTGGATCAATACAATGCGCATAGCAACTTCAGTTATTGGGAATCTATATTTGTAGCAGCATTTTAAAAAAATATATGTATAATTCCATTTAGTAACAATTTCGTCTGGCATGAATCCGGGCTTAAGGTTATGCTCGGTACACTTATCCTTAAATTCCCTAATTCTAGATTGTCTATTATTTCCTTGAATAACACCAACTGCTCTTCTAACATGAGTAATATCAGTTGAAAATAAATCAAGGCCACTTTTAACAATTAAATTATAAACATGACATGCACACATAACATGAAAAATTTCGTCAAGTGGTGGTTGGAAATGCAGTTTTAATATTGAAATTGCGACATTATTGTTAGAAGCATTATCAAAAGACATACACAATACCTTTTTCTTAAGATTCTAAAATTCAACAACTTCGCAAATAGTAGTACTTATAAATACAACAGTATGACTCTGATCTTCATCATATTTAAAAGCGATAATACGTTTTTGCATACAATAATTATCATCTATCCAATGACATTTAATTGTCAAATAATCATTTCCATTAACAGCATGACCAATATCAGAAGTTAGAGAAACTCTACAAGGAAGGTGGCTAAACAAATAACGTATGTATGTTTGATATTGTCCATGAAGTCAAAAGATATCATATCTACAAGCACTTCTAGGGATACCTTTAAATAAAGGATTATAAATCCTTTGAATATACATGATGAAGAAGCAAAAGAAAAAGGTAGACAACCCAAAGCAATCATTTTTGCTAACTCCTCACGATCCTTCATTTTATCATATTTCATAAGTCCTCCAGTAGTAGGGTTTAGAGTTGCTTGATTTCCATCCACATCAGAGCCCCATTCTATAAGATGCTCAATTCTAATATGTCTACTAAGTGTCTCAGTCCCCCCTAATTGTCCTCCACTCTTATGTTTAAAATCATCATTATAAAGTCTGCATTTAACTCTATCAATACCTTCTATTTCGCCAAAAAAAATTCAAACCTTACTTCTTTTTCTCCGATTAGTAGTCGGGGCCACAAGTGATCTACTACTAGCACCACGACTACCACCCCTTCTACCAGCTCCAACACTACTGGGTGTAAGTGGTATCTCATCTTCCATTTCTAATTCATTATCTTCTATACCGAAATCTTCTTGTAATTGTTCATAATCTATATTATTATCAGGTAATGTTTTAGAAATATGTGTAGAGTCATTTAAATTACTACCAGATACTGAAGTACTACCTCTTTTTTTATTTTCCCGATTAAAAACCTTATTACAAACATTTTTTGCAGCATTAAATAAATTGTGAAACTTTAATTACTAGCAAAAATTAAATATACAAATAAAATAGTAAATAAAAGAAAGAGTTGGAGGGAGTGCACCGAATTCGGTAATAAATTGAACACTTGATGATTTCACAACTCTAATGTTACCACGAAGAAACGTCAATTTTTCAAATTTCAAATAATAAACAATACAATAAATTAAATTCCAAAAAACAAATGAGAGCCAAATGTTGGATTGCACTTTAGGTGAAGAATGAGATAATAATAATTGAGAATATGAATTTGAGAAATGAGAGATGAGTGAAGAAATGAAGAAGAGAGGGGGTGTATTTATAGTTTTTCAAATGGCTAAATTAGTAATTACAAAAAGTGTTAAATTTAAAAAATATTTGGCCCAATAAAAGGCTATTTGTGCAAAACAGCCGTTGGGCAACGACCTTGGCCCAACAGACCGTTGCCAACGGTCAGAAAGTCAGAA